AGATAGAAGAGGGAGGAGAGGGAGAGAGAGAGAGAGGGGTGGGAGATAGAGAGAGAGGGGGGGGTCTCAATTTTTGCCTACGGTTACATCCTTGCCTTTTACCCCGATCCACCTGTCCCTACCACAACAAGCACCGCCGGACGATGAGTCAGGGTAGGGTCGAAAAGCACAGGCAGTGTTTGCTTTATAATACAAAAAGAGAAGTGTCCGATTCTAATAAGATACTAATAAAAAAAGTATAGATCAGTCTTCATGTGATATTTGATTTTCGCCGTCCAATCAACTTTCAGAAATACGCTTTTACAATTAAATTTCTCTTAGTAACAAGTTTCCCATAAGAGATTACAAGGAGAAAGACAGCGAGTGGCGTCGGAGGGGAGTCTAAGGCGTGCAAGAGACGCCTTCCCCCTTCACGTGACCCTTCCTCCGGGTCACAGGATTCTATGACCCACGCATGATATATATGTGCGGCTCGAAGTCCATGTGCAAAAGTAATTTAGCTTGTGGGATGGGGCACTTTGTCGATGGTGCAAACGGAAAACAATAAAATCAAGCAAAAGGGAAATGGTAGCAGGTGTTCACATCGGGGAACTCGAACGGAATATCTACGAGAATTTGGCCTTTCAAGTGGGTTTTGCCGAGACAAGGATAACTTTTCCTTATACCTACGTCCTTTCTTAAACCCATTGCGCTGATATTAAGTCACACTTGGTAAATTCTGTGCGTCCTGGGTAATTTCTCTAGCAAGAACATGAACAAATATAACAAAAAATATGTTAAGTACACGCGAAGAATATATAAATTGTCAAAGTCAAATTCTCCCAATATGCGAAGAGAGTAACAGCACAAACACATATTTAAACCAGTATTTTCGATCGCAATTCAGATTCGTTCCTATCAGAGGCATTGAAATCCTCAACTTAATTACCGGGGAAAGTTCTAGTCGCAATAATTTGCATGATCCTTCTCGACAGTGCCGGAGAGGTACCTCCTCTCTTCCGTGTTTTGACGCCTGGGGCAACGAGACGACCCTTGGCTGCTCTCGGTCATCTGTTCTTCTCGAAATAGCTATTGCGGACGGAAATGCAACAAGCCCTTTTGTGTGAATTTCATGTACTTCAGCGATCTTTATAGCAGGATCATTCACACAGACTAATATTGCCATTTAGGGTATATATGTGTAAAGATGTGTGGCAAAGAGCACGTCGATGTAGCGGGTAAAGGGGGCGTGATAAGCAGCCTACCGTTCCTCACTTAAAAGACTAAATTCCCGGGTCAACGTTGCCCTTCCCTCCGCTGCCCACGGGTCTTCCTCCCACACGCCCACGACCGAAGGCCCTCGTGTCACTCTGTAACTTCCCTCTCCCTCGCATTCCCTTGGTCAGACAAGTTGAGACTAGCGCTCGCGAGAAGCAGACTAGTGACCTCCCTTAACCCAAACCCTCTGGGAGGTAACCGTTCTTGGTCTCTCTGGGTCTCGGGACCATAACGGATCGACGAAACTGGTCACCCGGGATCACCTCCGCGAAGGGGTCAAAGCCCGCTAAGGTCACCCGGTACTGTCTCTCGTCTGGCGTCGCGTCATGGGCCAAATATAGGGATGACCGACTGGGCGCTAAAATATTTCCATAGGCCCTTTGAGACACAAGTATATAACCATGATTCTTTCATATACACGAAATTTATTTGTGTACCTTAGTATTAAATTCACTGAGATTCGGTTTATTTTAATAAGTTGGTTAGTAGAGTCAGACCAGAGTCAATTCTGTGACGATGCAAAAGCCTTACCTTGAAACGATCATACAAAGCCCTTCGGTCGCTCAAGCATTTCAGGCATATTTTTTAAAATAAAAAAGGAACAAGAAGCCCTGATTAAATAGCTTGACACCTTAGCGAATATATTTATTTATTTCAATACCCCAGACAATCTGCTCTTAACATAGATGTGACCATAATGGCCAAATCAAAAGAGGAAATTCTTAAGATGAGCCTCGTTCAAGGATAAGTGACGTCACAAGGTTACATGCCGTCATACGTATTCCTGGACTTCAGCTCAGCCGGGACAGGGCTTGGGAGGCTTGGGGTCCTCCGTGGCCGTGTGCGCTTTCAGTCTTTTATTCATACATGAGGGAGCAAGTGGGTTTCTAAATGTACACATATATCTACAAGCATATACTTAAATGTATGTATGTATGCATGTTTGTTTAAATGTATGTTATATATATATATATATATATATATATATATATATATATATATATGTATATATATATATGTATATATATATGTATATATAGTATATATATATATATATATTATATGTATATATATAATATATATATAATACATATATTATATTTATATATAATATATATACATATATATATATATTATACATATATTATATATATATTATATATATTATATATATAATTTATAATATATATATATATATATATATATTATATATATATATGCATGCATATAAGTACGCATATGT